TCTCCAAAAACTCCATAATGATATTGCTCATCATCGTCATCTTGTGATAACACTTTATATCGACCTTTTTTCGTACGCGTTGTTTCAAATGATAAAGTGCTCCTTCGTTCCATATTAACGGAAGTTCCGCCAATCGCACCTTCCCAAGGCTGCCTAATCTCGCGCCTCCGTCTTCTTCCACTAAAATGATCAATGTTAATTTTGAAACCATTTTCCCCCCACCAATATAAGATCAAACTTATTATACTAATGGCCACCACAACTCCAAACATGGTTTTCGGGCCGCCAGCGCTGTCGTACAGCAAACCACCAATCAAACTTCCAAATCCAGTGCCAATACCAGCATACAAGGCTGTCATCACACCTTGAGAAAACGAAATAAGATTGTGAGGTGCATTATTTGAAATGTGCATAACACCGGATGCCCAAAGGGCAGAGAATCCAATTCCATTAAGAAATTGAACCAAAAGCGCCATCACGTGCGACAATGTGTTCGGTTGTAAAAATAGGTATGTGGTGCATCGAATAATGGTTACTATATGCGCTAGAGAGACCAAAAATCCAATTCCAAATCGAGAGATTAACTATTAAAATATAGCATAAAGAATAATATAAGATTTATAACTAAGGTAAAAAGGAATATCTATTAAGATGTTAAATTACATACATCCTTTGAATAAAAGAAAAATAATAACTCTGTAATAGAGCTGAATAGACCTGTTAGTCCCAAAACTGTTGAATCGGCTTTCAATTCTTGATTAAGGAAAAGCATCAAGAAAGAATTACTCATAGATAGAGCCGTTCCCATTAGCAACATTACCATTAACAATGTTGCCACAGAAGGATTTAAGAACAGCGTTTTCATTGCCGCAACTGGATTAGTGGACAAAGATGCTGTATTAAGATTAGGTGCAGTTGGCGCGAATGCTAAAATATCCAGATCGGGCACCGAAATTGCATCATCATCATCGTCTTCATCGAACACAGAAGAATCATCATCCGATTCATCAATCTGGGTTAAAATGTTGATAGCCGATGTGTCAAAATCATCATATTCTCGGATGCCACCTCTAGAACTTGATGTGGTATCTTCATCTTGATCCTCAAGATCAACTAGTGGTTTAAAAGCAATATCTCTAGAACGTATTGGTAACCCTTCGAGACCTTTATCCGGGTTAAAGTCGGTCAATAGGGTACTTATTATAAACAACACTGACGTTCCAAAGAAAAAGAAAAATACGACATTGATGTTTTCCACGGCACTCCACAATAAACCTACTCCTAATGTGCTTGCTCCATATGCGAAAGATCCCCAGAGTCGTTGTTGACCTTCATGTGTGGTTACGTTAATTAGTAAAAAATATTTTGCAAAGAAAAAAAACCCCTAAAACCAATGAAATTTACCATAAAGCTCTTTCTTATCCCCAAGAATTTTTATCACTCCACTGTCGACCAATGCATTGACAGGTATTCCAAAAAAGGCGAACCATATAGCCACGAATAACACGCAGCCCATTATGAGACCACCCTTATTTTCCCCAACCATTTTTGGCAAAAACATTTGGCTAAATACTCCCAAAGTTGCCAATGAATATATAACTGTTATTATTAGTCTATGTGTTTGAAACCTGTCAGCCAATCCGGTCCAAAGGGGACAACTTATAGCGGAAATGAAAGGTGCGATTGAGAATATAATTCCAATCTGCGTTGATGTCAGTTCTAAGGATATATTATAGAAGATCGGGAGGTATGGTATTACCGAGCCCATACCCGCACATAAAAAGATAAATAACAATTTTGGGAAAATAAAGGGAATCGTTGAAACTTTTGAAAATATTTGGCTTGGAAAAAAAGTCTGCCATGGATAGTAGAAATTTGTTTCGCGCGGGAGTGTGTTTGGACTTTTCTTAAATATATTAGAAAGCCAATTTGGAAGCACAAATTGAAATGTTGTCGACGATTGAACTCGGTTGAACCGAGAGCTTTGGTTAAAAGACATTTATTATATTAGCATTAAAATTGGTTTTTTTGATTCCTTTTTAACATTGTATGTGTTACATAAGGTTGATTCTTTTTTTAACCCCTGACATGGCTTGTCTTTTATGTGTATTTATAATTTAAATGACTTTCACTTGTCAACTTATCAATCTTTTGAAATTTAATTTAACAAAACCTAACCATCTTAATTTATTTTTTTTTTTTTTACTCTCTGTCAGGCTAGTTATATATGCTTTATTAAACATTTGTAAGCTATACATATAACATGAGATACTAAAACTAATTCTTTAATTAACTCACTTGTCTTGATTATTTTACCTTTCTAAGTACAACTTCAGAAGTAATTTATTACTCTGTTAGGAGTTCAGGTAAACATTCTTCCAACTTCTAACATTATTGCCTGCAGATCACCACTACAGATTACTTTTTTGAGTTTTGATAAAGATTAAAATTCAACTATTTCATTTTATACTTTATCCTATCTCACAGATTCTATTTGAGCATTATAGTTTTTGATTTTTTTTTCCTTAATGGTACTTGATATAATCAATTTCCTGGTACCTTGATTCTATTTTTTTTGCCTTTATAGATATGTCGACCTTTTGATCTTGTTACCTTTATTGATTCCCAATATCTGTTTTCACTCTATCATCTTTTTATATCTGATATTTCAAATTTTTTTTTCTGAAATGATTATATATTTTCTTCTGCATTTTTATTATTCACTTTCTTGTTTCTTTATCGATTCTCTTTCCATAGAACTTTGAGTTTGCTATCTCATTCATTAGATCTTTTTTAATCAGTCCCATGCAAAAGTTAAATATATCTTGACCAGTATTTGAGATCCTTTCCACTAGTTGAGCTATTTTCTTATCTATTTATTTATCTTCTTTCTATTCTATTATCAACTATCAGGCTTGTCTCTTTTTTTTCTAACTCCTTTTTTCTATCTGCTAGAAGTTTATTAAAACCTTGCATTTTATCTTTTATACTCTTAAATCAAGTTTTTTACCATTGAGTCTTATATACTGGACATTTTAGCAAGTATTCTATTATTACTTCTTGCTATTCACATGCAAAACATTTTACTTATTTATATAAGTCTGATCTTCTTGTGGCAAACTTTATTAATGTAGATAGCTCATTACTGGTCATCTTAACAAGAAAACTTTTTTTTTTTGTGATCCTTTAAAAGATGTATTCCATGTGTACCCATTATTCATTTATTTCCAAATTAGGTTCTATGTATATCTATACTAATTTTGAATTTGATGATCCCACTTTTTATTTATTTTGTTTTGGGTCATCCATTGATACATTATTATTTTGACATTGGTTTTTTTAAAAAATTGCCTTATTGAAATATCTAGTACTATATCTTGCTATTTGATTTTGGTAATAATCTTATATAAGTTCAAATCTTACTATTTTATTGTTAAAAATTTTAATGTTTCTTTGATTAGAATATCTACTTTCTCATTATATTGAATATTGAAGTGTGCTTTAACCTTGATAAGATTTAAATTCAATTCTTTTTTCTTTACCAGGCTCAACATTCATACCAATATGGATCAATTTTGTTTCTTTAGCCATCTTTTGTGAGTTTTTTTGGAATCTCTCTTTTCTATAGTTTTCTATTTGGAGATACAGGCTTGGCTGTCAATGTGAATCTTGACCTTGCTATTAACTAGTATTACTAATAGTATAGTGACTATCACTACTAGTTCTACTCTTGTAGATAAAAGCCAATCAGCTATTCCTGTTTGGAACTTGCTTTTCTTTTTTGCTTCTTCAATTTTTATTTATGTTATATCCATTTTCATGTTTTTATTTCTGTAATCAACAAGGGATCTATCAGAGTAAAAAATCATTGTGTTATTGCTATTATTTCCCTTGTTATATCTAAGTATTTCAATCAGATGAGTTTGATATATGCCTTTTTTAATATTCTCTTTGATGAGCTTTTCTTTTCAATTTTTTATCTCTACTTCTTCCAGTTGCCATCTATTACATTGTACAGTTAATGGGTCTATATGAATTGTTTTACTTATTATTCTCTCTAGGACTATCTTGAAACAAGGGATTTCTAAAAGTTGAGCTTTCCTTGTAGATTTCCTAGTATTAAAATAAGGAAATATATACATTTGTTCTGTTTTTAATTCTATTATGCATCAGTTTTTAGTCTGGATCTCTTCCGGCAACCCTAATATCATATCAGGTTTGATTCTAAGTTTTCCTTGAAGCTATCACATTTGAAATAATCTATTTTAATATATCTTTTATTATTACCTAGAATTAATTTTTCCCAAACAAGTTGTCTCTACTGATTATTGCTCTTGTTGACCACTCAAAGTTTTTGCCTTTTATCAAGATTGGGATTAATTATCAGATGTTCTGGACTCACTTTAATCAATTTTTTTCCCAAGATCTTATAAGTTGTCCTAGATTGTTTCCTCGCATTTCCCTTGTTATTGACAAGTACCATTCTGGAATAGATCTCTTATTTGTTTTTTATAAGAGTTGGAGTATTTGCCAGTTCTATACTTCTCTAGTTTCATAGTTGATAAGTTGATCTATATATGTCAACTTATTATGTTTGAGTAATAAAAAGGCTTTACTATATTTATCTATTGTCAAATAATCTTTAATTGAACTATTTCCAATACTCCAATTAAAAATACTAGCTATAGAAGGTTATCTCTATATTTTTTATCAGTTTCAGTACTTGTAATATGAAGTTGCCCCTTCCTGGAAAATGATTTAGTAAGTTATATATAATGATAGATCCCTAAAGTATTTAGCATATAAAATTTTACAGATCACTTATATTCCTTTTTGAGGAACAAAATTTATAACTCTTCATTTTAATAGGTACAAAAGTCAGGAAATGCTATAAATCAATGATTTGGATAATAGAAAACAATTGTAGATAGTTTTTTAATAGTTATTAATTTAAAAATTTTAATATTTCCTAGTAAGGGCATTTGACTTTTGTCCCTACCTCCTCCTTTAAAGACCTATCTTTAGTTATATATAAGTAGATTGAGAGGTTTCTAGTACTTAATTTATGATTTCTTTAGCCTGATAATTGCTGTAATTCCAGTTGGCCCTAAGTTATTTAATCTATTGTACAATTTTATTATATGACTTTTTTTTTTGGCAACATCCAAATACTCTTTAAATAATAAATTCTGAGATGATATATTACACTATTAAATATGGATTAACATACTGTATGTAACCTTATTTTTGAACAGCTTTCTATATACCATTGTCAGAGTATTACACGTTTGCTAGGATAGTACACTATACTATATTCTAAATTTGATTCTAGGTATTAGGACTCTGTTTAGAATATAAAATACTTGCTTGTCATTTAACTTTTTGTTCTTTAAGAACTTGGTAACCATATTGATTTCTTTAAGCATTTATTTTTTGAGCTTGATAGCAGATTTCTAGTTATCTATTCAGATTTCTAGGAATCTTATCTATTTAGCTCTATCCAATTCTCTGTCAACCCTTGATTGGATCTCTTCTAAATATTGGTTAAGATTGTTAATAGTGATTAATACTAATTTGCTACTATTAATCTATAAATCATTTATTCTATAAAAGATTTTTGTTTCTTTCAAAATCTTTTCCATATCCTTTTTGGATCTTGTTATCTATGTTGTATCATCTATAAATGTGATAGCTATATACAGTATCTTGACTCTAGCTTTCTTCTAGTATTTCTCTTTAATTCTGAATCCCAAGTCACTGATATTTTATAGCCTTTTATTTTATCATTCTAGATCTTATACATAAAAGATTATAGAATATCCTTCACATTAGTGATAAGATGGTTTCTTCTTGATTAATCCTATTTCCTGCTATGATTACTTCAGTTAGATTTTTCTCAAATATGACTCTAAATTTTCAATTTCGAAATAGACTCATTATGATTTGAATCAAACCTTCTGGTATTTTGATTCTATTCATTGCCTTGATTAACATATCCAGGTTAATAGTATTATATGCTTTTGCTGTGTCTTGGAAAAGTATCTATAACTCCTTTTTATTTTCTCTTGCTTTCTTACAAATATTATTGAGAATTTGAATCAGTTTTGCTATATTTTCTCCTGGTAATTCTACATAATTAGATCCTCTTAGGATATTGTTAATCTTATAGATATTTTTCAATCTGTTTGTAAGGATTTTAGTAAAGCATTTTTGTATAATCCCCAGCAATACTATCAGTCTGATGTTAAAGAGTTCACATCTCTATAGTTTTGGTTTTGCTATGGGATATATATGGCTTTGCTTCTATTCTAATAAAGTAACTTCCCATCTTAGAAAGCAGTTAAGTATCTTTCTAAGATATTCTTTTTCTTTTGAATCCAGTCTTTTTAGTATTTCATAGCTGATTTGTGATCTTCCTAGGGTTTTATTATTGGAAAGTTCTTGAAGTATTTTATATAGTTCTTCTTGGGAGATTGGTTTCAGTAGGTCTTTGTATTACCTTTTTTTAATATAGTCTTTAGGATTATATTCTTTTTTCCAATCTTCTGTAGGTTGTCAAAATTGATATTTTGTTTTTTGAATATCTCATGATAATATCT